TGGTAAATTATTTCCTATCTGTAACGGAACATCTTCCTCGCTGCCACTCATTATTTTATCGTTAACTTTTAATTAATCAAAAGAAAAAAAAACAATAAAAATATGCTAATTCAAAAACCAATTTTAACCGACAAGGGTCAATTAATTTACCAAAATAATAAGTTTTATGCATTTTATGTACTGCCATCAGCCAATAAATTCCAAATTAAACAGGAATTAGAAAAAATGTTCCAAATAAAGGTAAAAAAAGTCCGCACTAGTCGGCAAAAACCCGTTTTGCGACAAACTCGTTATTTACAAAAATCTCCCACTCGGGTTTACACCAAACTAAGAAAAAAAGCCTTTGTTGAGTTAATGCCAGGACAAAAATTAATGAACTTTTTTGAAGAAGAAGTTAAAAATTAATAATATATGACCAAAACAGTCAAACCTTTGACTAATTCCAGTCGAAATACCATTCTGATCGATTACCGGGAAAAATTAGTTCCTAATTCTCAAAAATCACCCCGCAAACTCCTTAAAATAATTAAGCCACAGTCGGGACGTAATAACCAAGGAAAGATTACTATGCGCCATCAAGGAGGTAGCCATAAGCGATTTTACCGAATTATTGATTTCAAACGTTATGAGAAAGACAAGGTAGAAGGAAAGGTCAAAAGTATTGAGTACGACCCCAATCGCAATTGTTTTATTTCTTTGATAAGTTATCAGGATGGTAGCTTTACTTTCATAATTGCTCCAGAGGGATTAAAAGTTAACGATAAAATAATGAGTGGCAGCGAGGAAGATGTTCCGTTACAGATAGGAAATAATTTACCACTGCGTTACATTCCAGTTAATACTCCGATCCACAATTTAGAATTAAAACCAAAAAAAGGCGGACAAATAATTCGTAGTGCCGGCACCTATGCCGAAATAATTGGTAAAGAGGAAGGTAATGATTATGTCTTAGTAAAATTGATGTCGAAAGAAGTTCGCAAAGTATTAGCAACTTGTCGAGCTACTATCGGTAAAGTAAGCAATAATGAAGCCAATTTAGTTAGGTTAGGAAAAGCAGGCCGCAGCCGTTGACGAGGTATTCGCCCAACTGTGCGGGGTTCAGCGATGAATCCTAATGACCACCCACATGGTGGTGGTGAGCAGAAAGCGGGTATTGGTCATCCTTCACCACTTAGTCCCTGAGGAAAAAAAACCTTAGGTAAAAAAACTCGGAAAAAAAATAAACCCTCTAACAAATATATCATTCATCGTCGTAAAAAATAAATAATATATGTCTCGTTCTTTAAAAAAACCACTAAATGTCAATGAAAATTTGTTGGAAAAAGTAAAAAGTGCTAACAATAAGGGTGAAAAAAAAGCCTTTAAAACTTGAGCCAGAGGTTCAGTAATTAGTCCCGAAATGATTGGTCACACTTTACTTATTCACAATGGAAAAAAGTTTCTTAATCGACAAATTACCCAAGAAATGGTCGGACAAAAAATTGGTGTCTTCGCTCCCACTCGTCAATCAGGCCAACACGGAAAAGCTGGAAAACATTAAAATCTTTAAATATACTTCTCGCTCATGGAACCAATTATTATCAAAAGTTCACAAATTTCTATCTCGCCCCAAAAACTGAATTTGGTGGCCGGAATAATCCGCAAAAAAGAGTTAGACTACTCGTTAAAATTACTGGAATTTTTGCCAAAAAAAGGTGGTCGAATACTTTATAAAATATTAGCCGGGGCCGCTAAAAGTTTAGAAAAAAACAAAGAGGAGACAACCAATTACTATCTTGACAAAATCGAAGTAAATCGTGGCAAAATACAAAAAAAGGTAATCTATCGGGCTAAGGGTCGCACTAACCGCATCAGAAAAAGATATAGTTTGGTTAATTTATATTTAAACAAAAAGGAAATGATAGTAAAACCAAAACAAAAAAACACTAAAATTAAATAATAATGGCACAGAAAGCAAGTCCTTATGCAATCCGTTTAGGTTATAATCAAGTTTGGAATAACTATTTTTTTGCTGAAAATAGGGCAGGACAAGTTAATTGACTAAAAAGGGATAAGTCAATACGTGATTATCTTCATTTACTCTTTCCTGATACTGACCGACTGAAAATTGAATATACTAAGAAGAATATTTTTATTTATCTCTATATACCAGAAATCAGTTTAGTGCTGGGCGAGGATAATACCAAAATAAATTCAGTAATGAAAGGCATTTACCAAATAATTAATGATGATAAAGTTGCCGTTAAAATAAACCTAATTGAAGTAAAAAGAATTTATTCTCATGCTCAATCAATCGCTAACTTAATTGCTGGTCAGTTGAAAAAACGAATGCGCTCTCGTATGGTTATAAAAACCTTACTAACAAAATTGTCCGCTGAAAGAGACGTGAAAGGAGTAAAAATTGAAGTTAGTGGTCGCCTAGACGAATCAGATATTGCCCAAACTAAAAAAATCGTGCAAGGAAAAATGCCACTCAGTACTATCGATAGCAACATTGATGTTGGAAGAACCGAAGTAGCGACTAGTTATGGAAAAATTGGTATCAAAGTACTAATTTACAAAGGAAAAATCTGACAGAAAAAAAATAGAAATTATGCTAATACCTAAAAAAACGAAATATCGCTATTCACATATCATAAAATATGAAGGTCATGTGAAGGGAAACAGTAAAATTAATTATGGAGAATTTGGCTTGCAAGCCCAAGAAGGAGCCTATATTAGCAATCGAGTAATCGAAGCAAGCCGAAAAGTTATTAGTCCTTTCGTCAAAAAAACTGGCAAAATGTGAATTAGAATTTTCCCCCACTTAGGAAAAACTAAAAAGCCTCTAGAAGTGAGAATGGGTTCCGGCAAAGGTTCTGTGGAAAGTTGAGTAGCAGTAGTAAAAGCTGGAACCATCCTTTTCGAAATTCAAGGACTACCAAAAAGCACTTCCTATGAAGTTCTAAAAAGAGCTAGTTATAAATTACCTATTCGCTGCAAAGTTATTGAAAAAAATGGATAAGAAAGAAAATAAACAAGAAACAAAAAAAAAATTGCCAAAAGAAGAACTATTAATCAAATTTCGTTCAACTCTAATGGTTCTCAAAATGAAAAATAAGATGGGGCAATTAGTCCAAACTCACCAAATAAAGGAGTTAAAAAAAACAATTGCTCGGCTACTCACGGCTGATAAGGCAATAAAAAATAAATAATATATGAGTCAAGTATTTACGGGAACGGTAATAAGTTTAAAAAATGCTAAAACTGCGACAGTAGAATTAGTTTTTAATAAGTTACACCCCAAATATCATAAACCAATCAAGAGTAAGAAAAAAATTCAGGCTCATAATGAAGAATACGAATTGCAATTAGGCGATAAAGTGATAATTAAAAGCAGTCGTCCTTATTCAGCAACCAAAAGATTTTTAGTAATCAAAAAGGAAGAAAAAGTTTAAAATAAATAATATATTAATAATTATGGCAAAAAATAATAATGTGTTTGAAGAAATTCAAGGACTAATTCGGCAAATTGAAACTAACTATCAGGAGGGAGTTGATTTTGAGGAAGTTATTATCAAAGATAAGAATTGTAAAGTTGGACACTTTAAAATTATTTCTTCTCGTTTAAAGGAATTTTGCCGAAGTAGATTTAATTTTCCACTTGGTGTTGACGATTATTTGGATTATACCAAGGAAGGAGAAGGTGAAGCAAGTCGTTTTTTTTACCGGACAAGTAGAGAGGGCGGACATGATTACTTTGTTTTATCCATGGACGGAAGACCATGAGAATATTTCTTCTCTTCTCAGAAACAATTTGAGGAATGAAGAAAAAAAAACCCCGACAATCGTTGAGATAGTCCGGAGGAAAAAAATCCTGAAAATTGTTCGGTTTGCGGTAAACTAACTCTTTTAAAAGACGGACGAATGAGACTGTGAAACGACGAATGCCGAATAATTGGAGTTAATGAGGATGGATATTCAATGAAACTTTCCAAGCCTTTTGCCCTCGCTCATTTTCACCCCGAATGTGCGAAAAAATACCATTTTTCTAATAATGCTGCTCAACCAGTTTCTCCCGCAACAAAAAAAAAAATCTTGCGAAACCTTGATAAAATAAGTTTCGATCAAGCGGGACATTTGGCTAATGCAGAATTATTAAAAAATCCTCATTACTATGGAACTACTAGAAAAAGAGAATTGGGAATTTATCTTTATCAAACAAAAATAGAGGATGAGGAAATAAATTTACTGAAATTCGATAGAGAGGAAAACAAAAAAGATTATTTAGAAATTAGAAACGCAATAGTTAACAATATTAAACAAAATATTTTGGACTGAAAAATTAAAAAGGATGAATATAATAATGACTTTTTAGAGAACAGGAAAACTGGAGCGAAAGTTTGAATAATTATTTTTAACGAATTGGTGTTTGAAAATGGAAAAAAAGACTGAACTGAAATTGAAATATTATTGAAAAATGACAAAATTAACCGAGAACAAATTAGACAATACTTCCAAAAAAACAATATCAAAAAAATTAAGTTAGTAAATGGAGAATTAGTAATTGAGTATAATGATAAGGAAACTAAAAAGGAAACAATTAATAATCAAGCACTTCAAACAATAAAAAATTATTCACAAAAGCATAATAAAGAAGAAATAACTTGAGACGAATTAAATGTCAAATCTAATAATAACTCAACCAATATTAATAACACTAAATCCTCGCAATTCGAAAATAAATATCTTTGATTGACAGGGGAATTACATTGGGAGTAATAATTCCATCACTTATTGTTTTTTACCGTCGACGAAAAAGCCATAAAAATTAATTAATATGCTACAAAACGAATCAATTTTATTAGTTGCCGATAATTCCGGAGCCAAAAAATTATTAGTAATTCGCTGCTTAGGTGGTTCTAACCGCCGATATAGTCGCGTTGGTGACCTAGTAAAAGCAACAGTAAAAAAAGCCGACCCGCATGGTAATATCAAAAAGAGCCAAATAGTGACAGCAGTAATTGTGGCTACCAAAAGACATTTTCGCCGTCAAAATAACACTTGAATAAAGTTCAGTAAGAATTATGCAGTGTTAGTAAAAGAAGACAATAAGGAACCAGTAGGAACCCGCATATTTGTTCCTTTATTAGCCGAATTTGACCAATGAGGATACAAGAAAATTTTCTCTTTAGCACCCGAAATTTTATAAGATTATGACGAAAACAAAATTAAAAACTGGCGATATGGTAAAAGTTATTACCGGCAAGCATCAGGGAACAATTGATTACATTTCCCGCCTAGACACAAAAGAACAAGTAGTTTATTTAAAAAAAGTTAGCCGCAAAAAATACGATAAATCTACGCCTGAAAATAAAAAAAAAAGTGAATTGAAGGAAATAATGACCCCAATTCATATCTCTAATGTTGCCTATTGGTTAGAAGATAAAAAGAAAATTACTAAACTTGGTTTTCAAGAAACAGAAAAGAAAAAAGGTGATAAAACTGAAAAAGTAAAAGTGCGAATGGCTCGCAAGTTTAAGGATAAAAAAGGTAACAGTTTATTAATCGACTAAAATTTAAAAAAATGGAATGAAATTGTAACAAATGCAATCGAGAAATTAACAGCAAAGAAAGAGGAAAATTTTGTCTCGAATGCTGGTGAAAAGAATTAGTGGAAAAAATAGAAATTAATCCTGAAACTATTAGTGATTTTATGGAAAAATATTGGTTTGCTTCTTTTACTTTTAAAATAGGAGAATATTTTGATATTATCAATATAGAAGCTAAAAACACGAAAAATTTGACTTCTCTTCAATATTACCCTGCTGGACTAACTACTGAATATTACCCAAGAACTAAAAAAAATACAAAGAAAGAATTTTTTGGAAAGGAAACTTATAATGAATATTCAGCATTCTTGGAAAAATTATTTCATTTCGCTCAAAACGAAAAAATTAAAAGAATAAGGGGCAAATGAAGAAAAGAAATAAATGACAGGTTAGTTTCATTTAAAGTTGATGACTTAATCATTGAGAAAAAAAATGCTGCAGAAATAGAAAAAGAAGAATAAAAAATAGTATATGCTTATCGTAAATAATTGGTGAGAAACCAAAAGAAAAGAAATAAAAAAATCGGTGGGGGAAAAGTTTCAACATTCTTCACCAATGCAAACGACTGACATTGAAAAAATTGTTTTAAATAGTGGGGTAGGACAGGCAGTTAGTGATAAAAAATTTTTAGACAATACCGAAAAAGCAATTATCCAAGTATCAGGGGGGCAAAAACCCATCTTAACTTATGCCCGCAAATCTATTACTACTTTCAAATTACGAGAAGGAATGCCAATCGGTTGCAAAGTAACTTTAAGAAAAAAAAAGGCTTGAAATTTTTTATTCGAATTAATTAATTTTAACTTACCGCTCATCGCAAATTTTCATGGCTTATCAGTCAAAAAATTTGACCGAGTTGGTAATTATAATATGGGAGTAGATAATTTAAACATTTTTCCGACTGTTCCTTACGATTTAACCGCTAAAAATCAGGGACTCCAAATCACGATTGTTTTCAAGTCTTCTTCTACTGAGGAAAATAGTCATTTTCTGAGATTGTTAGGATTTCCTTTTAAAGAGAAGTAAAAAAATTTAGCAAAAATTCTCTGTTGAGATAACATGAATAAAATTGTAAACTCTCTTTTGGCACAAAAAAAGCACTGAGAAAAAAGACGAGATTTTTATCATGTTTTATTTCATAGATACGAGCGAAGAAGCAATATTTTCTTTTTTATTTGCTTTTCGCTCTATTGTTTTTCCCGCATCACATTTGAATTAACATTAATTAAAAATAAATGGACACTTATAGCTTTTCTTGTTTTGTTTTTAATTAACCTCGGTTTTTATATTTATTTCTTAGGATATTTTTGAGATTACAAACGAAAATTAGATAAAACAGTTGCAAAAGTTCATCAACTTAACGAACAATTAATAGAAATTTTGACTTCTTCTGAAATCACTAATTCAACAAGTTAGGTGCTCCGGTTAACGAACAAGTCCCATCAATATTTTTCGGAAAAGCAATTAACTCTTTTAAGTTATTAGTATTTAATATTACAGTTAATAAACGGTCAATTCCCAGCCCAATTCCACCATGAGGAGGGGCAGCGAATTCTAAGGCTCGCAAAAAATAACCAAAATTTTTTTCTCTGGCTTCTTTATTGTAACCTAAAATTTCTAATACTTTTTCTTGCAATTCGGCTTGGTGAATACGGATGCTGCCGCTCAAAATTTCTTCACCATTACACACTAAGTCAAAGGCTTCACCAATTACTCTTTCTGGGTCGATTTTATTATTTAGCAAAGGTTTGATATATTTTTTTTGGGGAATAGTAAAAGGGTGTCGAAAACTTTCATATTTTTTGCTCTCTTCATTATATTCAAAAAGCGGTCAATCAGTTATCCAAACAAAGTTTAACTCTTTCTCATTTTTGGAGTTTTTTTGGCGCAAATCAGGTTTGTCAGTTTGGTATTTGCTCATTACTTCCTGGTAAGTTAGAGAAGGAAAAGGTGTTTTTATTTCATGGTTGAAAGTTTTTTTCAAAACGTGCTTTAAAAGTTTTTCTGTTAATGACATAATCTCTTTTGCGGTGGCAAAACTCATTTCTAAGTCCAATTGCGAAAACTCAATTTGCCGATTACTGCGGGCATCCTCATTCCGGAAACTCTTGGCAATTTGATAATACTTATTGAACCCACCAACCATTAATAACTGCTTAAAAATTTGGGGAGACTGAGGCAAAGTATAATAACGTTCTTTGATACTGGAAGGAACAAGAAAACAATTGGCGCCCTCCGGAGAACTTTGAGCCAAAATTGGCGTTTCGACGTCAACAAAATCTTTTTTGTGAAGAAAATTCCTTAACTCGTGGCAAAATTTATCCTTAACAAGAAGTAAATTTTTGCTAATAGGGCGACGTAAATCGAGATAACGATAACGATAACGTGTATCCTCATTAATATTCACCTCATCTTTAATCTCAAACGGCAATTCCTTACTATCATTTATTAGTTCCAATTTGACTAATTCAATTTCTATTTCTTTTTCTGAACCAGACTTTTTTCTTAGCACTCCTCAAATTTTTAGCAAATCACCCCTTTTTCTTTCTTTTAATTGCGAAATTAATTCCTGATTTTTAACTACTATTTGCAGATAACCACTACTATCTTGACCAATCAAGAATAATAAATTGCTTAGTTTGCGGATTTTACTAATTCAGATATAAAGAGTAACTTTTTTATTTAATTGCCTATGATTTAACTTAACAATTTGGGAAGGAGAAACCATTTTTATCAAAATATAAATAATTTAATAATATCTTTTAAGAGGAGAAGTGAGGAGAAAGGATTTCCACTTGTGCCACTTGTTGATTTTCTTCTTCCGTGGTTTGAGTTTCTTTGTGTTGAGTTTCCTTTTGGTCAAGTTGTTCAGAAAATCGAATTAGCGTTTCTTGGTATTCTTTGATTTGTTTTTCTAATTCTTGGATTTTATTTTTTTTCTTTTCCTGATTTTCCTCTTCCAATAATGAAGACAATTTCTTTTCCGCCTCTTCTAACTGGGTTATCTGCTTACTAACGATGGCTTTTTGGGACAAATCTAAAATCTCCTCAACCTGTTGATGAGTTGCTAAATAATTTTGGAGAGCTTGGGAAGAATTTTTGATTTCGGCTGATTTTTGTTGATAAATAGCCTGGGGAATTTCGTCAGTAATTTTTTCTAACAACTGCAATTCACTTAATAATTTCTCAATTCGGAATTTATCTTTATGAATATTGACGTTGTTGGCTTGGGAAAGCAAATTATTTCGGTAGGTGCGTACTGACTGTCCTTGCTTTTTTCAAATAATCAAATCGTCTAACTTTACACCCTTTAATTTATTGGCTGGTAAATCCAGCTCATTTTCCACAATTCTTTCCGCCTGCTGATTAATTTCTTCTCCAATTTTCTTATGCCAGTCTTTTATTTCCTCCTCAGTGCTTTGTCTTATTTTTTCTTGTCAATTACTTAATTCAATGTGGATACTTCCCGCAATATCTCTTTGAACATCAGTTAAATAAGCCTGAATATTGGTAATTACTTCTTCCGCTATTCCTTGTCTTTTTACTTCTAACATGGCGGAGGAGCTTGTTTTATTTATTTTTTCTGATCAGTTATTTAAAACATTCTGGATTTCTGGTGAGCGGGCCACTCCGTTATCTCCCTCCTCTAGCTGAACAAATTTATAGAAATCATTTAATTCTTTTATTATTATCTCCTGCTTCTTTCTTTGCTGAGTTGATTGGTTAATTTTATCTAAGTGAATTTGATTTTGGGC